CAAGGTGGTCTGCACCCGGCGCGGCCTCGCCGAGGTGCCCCCCGGCATCCCCTCCAACACCCGCTATCTCAACCTCATGGAGAACAACATCCAGATGATCCAGGCGGACACGTTCCGTCACCTGCATCACCTGGAGGTCCTGCAGCTGGGCCGCAACGCCATCCGGCAGATCGAGGTGGGGGCTTTCAACGGGCTGGCCAGCCTCAACACCTTGGAGCTCTTCGACAACTGGTTGACCGTCATCCCCAGCGGGGCCTTCGAGTACCTCTCCAAGCTGCGGGAGCTGTGGCTGAGGAACAACCCCATCGAGAGCATCCCCTCGTACGCCTTCAACCGCGTGCCCTCCCTCATGCGCCTGGACCTGGGCGAGCTGAAGAAGCTGGAGTACATCTCCGAGGGGGCTTTCGAGGGCTTGTACAACCTCAAGTACCTCAACCTGGGGATGTGCAACATCAAGGACATGCCCAACCTGACGCCCTTGGTGGGGCTGGAGGAGCTGGAGATGTCGGGCAACAACTTCCCCGCGATCCAACCGGGCTCCTTCCACGGGCTCAAGTCCCTCAAGAAGCTCTGGATTATGAACTCGCAGATCAACCTGATCGAGCGCAACGCCTTCGACGACCTGACGGCGCTGGTGGAGCTCAACCTGGCCCACAACAACCTCTCCTCCCTGCCCCACGACCTCTTCGCCCCGCTGCGCTACCTGGTAGAGCTCCACCTGCACCACAACCCCTGGGACTGCGACTGCGACATCCTCTGGCTGTCGTGGTGGCTGCGGGAGTACATCCCCACCAACTCCACCTGCTGCGGGCGCTGCCATGCCCCGCTGCACATGCGGGGCAGGTTCCTGGTGGAGGTGGACCAGACCTCCTTCCAGTGCTCGGCGCCCTTCATCATGGACGCCCCCACGGACCTCAACATCTCCGAGGGGCGGGTGGCCGAGCTCAAGTGTCGGACTCCTTCCATGTCCTCCGTTAGGTGGTTGCTGCCCAACGGGACGGTCCTGAGCCACGCGTCCGGCCACCCGCGCATCTCCGTCCTCAACGACGGCACTTTGAACTTCTCCCACGTCTTGCTGACGGACACCGGGCTCTACACCTGCATGGTGACCAACGTGGCGGGGAACTCCAACGCCTCGGCCTACCTCAACGTGAGCACGGCCGAGCTCAACAACGGTCCTGAGCCACGCGTCCGGCCACCCGCGCATCTCCGTCCTCAACGACGGCACTTTGAACTTCTCCCACGTCTTGCTGACGGACACCGGGCTCTACACCTGCATGGTGACCAACGTGGCGGGGAACTCCAACGCCTCGGCCTACCTCAACGTGAGCACGGCCGAGCTCAACA